CTCGGTGGCCGCCGCTGCCGCGAGCTGTGCGCGCTCCGCGCCCAGGCCCACTCCCTCACACGGCGCGAGCGCAGCCGCCGTCAGCTCCTCCCGCCACGCCTCCGCCGCGCCGAGCGCCGCCCGCGCCGCCTCCCGCGCACCCTCCAGCGCCGCGTTGCACTCCTCCAGACCAGGGGAGCCGCCGCCGCCCCCTCCGCCCCCTCCGCCAAGGCCGCCACCACCGCCACCACCGCCGCCACCGCCCGCCTCCGCCGCCTCCGCCGCCTCCGCCGCCGCTGCCGCCGCCGCGAGCTGCTCCTTCCAGCCGCGCTCCCACGCGTCCGACTCGGCCGCCGCCGCCGAATGCGCCGCCTGCGCGCGCTCCGCCTGCGCTTCCGCCGCGCCCAGCTCGCCCGAGACACGCGCGGCGGCGTCGCGCGCGGCGGCGGCTCTCGCACGCGCCATCTCCGCCGCCGCCTCCCATAGCTGCAACGGCAGCGTCGCCTGCAGCTCCGCCTTGAGCCCGGCCTGTCACGTGACGGATGGGAAGCGCCAGCCTGCTGATTGGGTGGCGGGCGGCGGGCCGAGGGCGGCGAGGGCGGCGGGCCGAGGGGGGCGGGGGGCGGGGGCGAGAGGCGGGCGGTGTGCATCGTCGAGGGCGCACGTCGGTCATGTCGAGCAGCCCGCCGCCCAGGTGCTGGCCGAAGAAGGCCACGCCGCCCAGGTGGCGGCTCCGCAGCCGCGCGTCGAGCTCCGCCTGCACCTGCCACATTTGGGAGGGGTTGCCATGTTAGGGAGGGCATGCCGCCGAGCGTCGAGCTCCGCCTGCACCCGCCACATTAGGGAGGGGTTGCCATATCTTGGGGAGGCGGCACCTGCGCGAGCGTCCCCTCGTGCACCTCGCCGCCGATGACGAAACGCAGCGCGTGCTCGCGCCGCCCCATCGTCCGCGTCACCTCGAACGCCTCGCCGCACCCGCCGCTACCCGCGCCGCCTCCGCGCACCTCGCCGCGCAGCGTCACCACCGCTCGACTCATGCCCTCCGAGATCACGCCGCGCGCCTCGATCGGCTTGCCGTTGGCCCGCGCGTCGGTGTTGCCCGTGAGAGCCCACAGAGGCGCCATCGCGAGCGTCGTCTTGCCCGCGCCGTTGCTCCCGCGCAGCGAGTCGCCGCCCTCGCCGCCCTCGCCGCCCTCGCCGCCCTCGCCGCCCTCGCCGCCCTCGCCGCCCTCGCCGCCCTCGCCGCCCTCGCCGCCCTCGCCGCCCTCGCCGCCCTCGCCGCGGTGCGCCCCCTGCAGCAGCAGCAGCCCGCGGCCGCCCAGCCGGTACTCGGTGCGCCGGTCGAAGGAGCCGAAGCCCTCGAGGCTCAGGTGGCTCAGCTGCAGCGCGAGCGGTGCCGGCTGCGCCAGCGACGCGTCTGCGGCGCACAGCTCGAGCAGCTCGCGCCCCGCGGCGAGCACGGCCTCCGAGAGGTTGCGGCTCGCGCCGTACCGAGCCAGCAGCGACTGCGGCTGCAGCAGGTCCGGCTCCTCCGAGCCCTCGCCGCCGCCGCCGCCACGCAACTCCAGCTCCGCCGCCGCCGACGACGACGCGAAGGCCTCGTCGGCCAGCGGGCGGCGCACCTCCACCGCGGCGAGGAGGCGGCGACGGAGGCGGCGGGGACGGAGGAGGGGTCGGCAGCGGGATCGGTGGTGGAGATGGCGATGCCCGAGGGGGGACGGAGATGTGTGCCAAGCCCCAGCACTCGGCGAGCAAGGAGTCCGTCCGGATGGCGCAGGTGTGGTAGGAGCCCGCCGAGATCTGCGTGTACTGCACGTTCGGCGAGACGGTGCTCTGGCCGTAGTTCTGGCCTCCGCTAGAACCAGGTGCTCCTGCACCCCAGCACTCTGCGAGGAAGTTGTCCGCCCGGATGGCGCAGGTGTGGCGGCCGCCCGCCGAGATCTGCGTGTACTGCACGTTCGGCGGGACGGAGGTCTGGCCGTCGGTGTTCAAGCCCCAGCACTCCACGAACGAGTTGTCCGTCCGGATGGCGCAGGTGTGGCGGTAGCCCGCCGAGATCTGCGTGTACTCCACGTTCGGCGTGACGGTGATCTGGCCCTTGCCGTTGGAACCCCAGCACTCTACGAACGAGTTGTCCGCCCGGAGGCCGCAAGAGAAATGGTAGGCGCCTAGGTAGTTGCTCGCCGAGACTTGCGTGTACTCCACGTTCGGCGTGGGGATTTTCGAACTGCCCGGGGTGCCCGGAGGCCAGCACTCTACGAGCGAGGTGTCCGTCCGGATGGCGCAAGTGTGGTAGGTGCCCGCCGAGATCTGCGTGTAGGTGCAACACGCAGTCAGTCGGCGCGGAGTGACCATCGCCTCGGCGGACCGCACCAGCGCGAGCATGAGCATCTTCAGGGCACCTGGGGCGCCGGGCCAGGGCGCGAGCTGGGGTGGATCGGAGGGTAAGGGGCCGGGCATGTTCTTTGCGCACCTTGGCGCCGTTGCGGAGAGTGCAGCCGCACGGCTGCGTGGCGGCGGCCCTCCACGCTCTTCTTCTTGACCTGGCGGCGCCACGTCACCGTGCCGACGACGGCCAGGGTGGCGACCGCGGCGGCGACCTTCGGCGGACCGATCGCGAGCCACGAGAAGGCGCTTGCGAAGAAGCCGGCAGGCGCCGCCGACACGCCGGTGAGGCACACAGTGGCGGCGGCGAGGCAGACGGTGGCGGACGAGGCCGCGCCGCGAGCCCCCTTTCCGCTCGCCGCGGTCGGCCAGGAGGCGCCGCAGGCGATGGCGAGGAGGATGAGCACGAGGGCGGGCATGAGAAGCGGCGAGCAGCTCACGAGCGAGGACGCCTTCGAGGCGACGGCGGGCGAGAAGGCCGAGGACGCAGCCGAGGCGACGCCGGATGAGAAGGTAGAGCACGCCGCCGAGGCGACGGCAGACGAGAAGGCCGAGGCCACCGCCGTCGGGCTAGGCACGGCGGGCGCGCAATGGCCAAAGGCGGGGATGGCGACCGTCGCCTCGGGTGGCGCCGCCGCAAGAAAGAGGAGAACGGAAGTCTTGACCATTTTGGAAGCCCAACAGCGTGCACCGAGGCACCTGTGTCACCTGTGTCTGTCACGGCAACGTACTCCGCGCAGGTTTCGGAAAACTGAAAAAAGAAACACACCCGCTGGAGCATGGGCCCCTGGGCGCATCGCAGTGAGGAGTGCGTCCTACCGATCCTTCCGCAACGTCCCTCTTTGTACGGCACTTCCCGCCCCCCATTGGCATTGCTCATTCTGGCCCGGCGCTGCTGGCCGCGGCGTCGGCCGAACCCTCGCCCCGGTCGTCTCCGCCCTCGCCCTCCGCGTCGTCGGCGGACTTGTACCTCGACAGTAGCGCGCGCACGGCCTCGCCCATCTCGCTCACCGACCGCTGCTCAGCCGCGTCCGGCAGCGGCTCGTCGCCGCCGTCGCAAGTCTTGAGGTGCTCGTCGGCGTTTCCCCAGACGCTGTGGAGGGATGCGCCGCCCTCGTACAAGCCGTGGAGCAGCCGCCCCAGCAGCGGCTTGGCGCGCGACCCCGCCACGTAGCACAGCGCCGTGTCGACCAGCTGCAGCGTCCGCAAGCCGGCGCCCGTCCTCGCGAGGTAGAGAGCGTCGTCCAGCTCGTCCTCGTCCTAAGTGTGAGTACGCCAACCTCAGGGCGGGAATGCGGTACTGCGCAGAGGATTCAGAGCACCGCGCGAATACGAGCGGCTACGAACACAGTGAAGACCGCGGGTTCTGGCCGAATACGGCGGTTTCCGTGTCCCCTCGAGCGCTCGTTCGAATACAAAAATGCGTAGTATTCCGCTTCTAGGGCCCGAGATAGGGGGAGATATGGGGAGATACGGGGAGATACGGGGAGATATGAGGAGATACTCCGCTTCTAGGGCCCCCCTCCTCCTCGCCGCCGCGGCCAACCTCGCTGACGGCGAGCGCCGCCTCTGCCGCCAGCTCGACCCTCTCGGTGTAGGAAAAGTGTAGGCGCAGCAGCCGCTCCAGCTTCTCGCAGTCTCCCTCCGCAAGCTTGCCCAGCAGCCTACCACACCACCCACGGGACTGAACCCACACGGGATTCGGTACTCTGGAGGTATGGTACTAGGCCTCTCCGCGACGGCGGTGAGCCCTGCTCGCGCAATAGAAGCGGGGGGGGAAGTGGCGTTGTGCCTCCGCCGCCGCTCGCCGGTCAGCTGGTGCAGCAGAGTGACCAGCAGCGAGGCGCAGTGCTCGTCGTGCGCTAGCTGCGCGGTGCGCTTCTCCTCGCTGCTCTTCGCAAAGGCGGGCGGCGGCGGCGGCGCGGCTCCGACGAGGGGGAAGAGCGTCTTGAACCCTCGGATGTCGACGAAGCGCTC